GTTATCGCAAATTTTCAAATGTATATCGTGATAAATATTTTTGGTCATATCGCCCTGCTCTATTTGAGAGGATAAATAGCTTGTCCAGCTTGTCCAGTCGGCTCTGTAATTGACTGCAAACTAAACACATTCAAAGCTGTGGTGAAGAAGAGATCACTGAACAAACAGTTATACATAATGGATAATCTTGACCACAGTCTGCACTGATTCAGCTCCACTGGCAGAAGGGCAGTTACACAAAGTCTTTAATACCACATGCCATTACCCTCTATTATGCAATATACCTGTCTACCAGAGGGCATTTCCTCTTTCATTTCAGCATTTTATAACCATTTTAAAGCTACTTGTTTTATCATTATTATTATTAGTAGTAGTAGTAGTAGTAGTAGTAATAGCTCATTGTGAATGATATAATTTTTTTATTTGAAAGAAGCCATACCCCGACATGCAACATTAAAGTTTGTAGTCACTGACAACTGCAAATGCAAAATCTGCAGTTCGCTTATTTTATTGTTTTCAATTAAATTGATATATTCATGTTATGTAACATCAAGCACAAACATTACTGTAACATATAGAGGGTCATTGTCTAAATCAGATATATTACTTAAACAATAAGTGTAAATATGGTGTGTAGGTTGGACTCATCAATAGTTCACATATTTGTCAACAAAAGTAAGCTCTGACCTGCTGTGTTAACATCGATCTTGATCTTATGGTTACAGACAACAGGCATTGCTGGATTATCCTTGATGATGTAGGGCCGGAGGGCATCGGGATTTGGGCAAACCTTATATACAGCTGATCCCACACTGAGGAGTAGGTGGTCTTTTGGAGTCGTTACAGGACAGCTGTCGCTCACCTTGAAAGAAAATTTCAGTGGATGTTGATATAACACATCTAGTTGATAGCTGTAGTTTACTATATGAGATACTGCATGATCTTTCACTCACCTGCGGCAGGCCTGACCTCTTTAACACATCAGTGAGTGCAGCCAAGACTTGTCTGTAGTGGAAGCAGTCATGGGCTTTCATGTGTAAGTAGACATTGCAGTCGCTGCCCAGCTTTTTCAAACATCCCTCCTCATTCTTGTTTAGTTTTCCACCTGTAATCACATGGGCAGCAAAGCGGTAGAGAAGGTGGCGGAAATGGTAAGTATCTTCAATAGCCTCGCTGGGAATAGGGGCTTTGTATGATCCCGCGCTGATTGTTGCTTTCAACAGGCTCAATCCCATTAGGTTGAGGATCTTGTTTCCTGAAAGACATTAAACGATTCCTTATTGATTGTCATTGGCTCCGTCTTAAGTCACCACCATCAAGTGGCATATCAAAGACATTGCATTCATGCAATTTAATAGCATGCTATGTACGTATAAGTACGTCCTCTAATTTACTGTGATCAGTGTTGGGTTTGTTACTCAAAAAAGTAACGAGTTACGAATATTACATAGAACACTTGCAGTATATTACTTAATTAGACATTAGACATGAAAAGGTAGAAACAGTGGCTGCAGACACAAACTAACAATTCAAAGAAATTGACCTTGTTATTGGTTCTTTGAGAGAACAAGTTCTCGATTCCCATTCCTCGTTATCAGTGTATTAGTGGTTGTCTGTTACAGCACTGCATGTATAGAATACGTTTTAAAGTATTGCTTTAGTTGATAAGAGGACAAGAGCTCTATATTAATGAGGTGCATTTATGAACAATTAGTTCTGTATATCGTGAAACCCTGGAAGGTAAAATATCATACCTGAGAAATCTGTTAGTACATTTTGCCCAGCATGTGTATTTGCCCAGTACCAGGCATGTCCTCCAATCAGCAGGCCTCCTCCCTCTGCCACAAAGTTTTGGATTTCCTCCAAATGCTCAGTGATATACGCTTTACACACAAACACACTGAGGTCTTTCCTGAAGTTTGTCTTCTCACACTTCAGCCCAGACTCACTCAGAACTTTGAGTGCAGCATCTATATTCATGACACCTACAACCCCTCTGCGCCCTTCATCCAACCAGTGAATGGCGTTTCTCCAAAATGGAGCCATGCTCTAAAATGAAAGGAAAGCAGCAACAAAGGCTGTCATGTGTATGTGTGATATACAAAAAAGTCCAATCAGCATACAGTTCATTTTCTCACTTTTTTCCACTCTGAGGCTTATTACATAACCTCATTAAAGTAAGTGATTTTTGGAATTTGAAAGTTGTTTTGCCAGTACTCCATCACACTTAAACCCTCCACCACACTGATTGTGATTGTGACAGACTGCTGGTGGAAACAAATGTAGTGTGACACAAATGCATTTGTAAATGTACAACATGAATAAATTCTTATGTGTTGATTTTGACTTAGAAGGTCTTAAAATTTCAGAGTTATTTTTCAGAGCAACTATACCTCAAATTTCAGACATCCTTCATGTGTAACCACAATGACCCGTCCTCGCCCATAGTAGGCTCCTGCCAGGAATGGTCGTCCATCTTCTGTAGTGCCGATGGGAAAGGCTAGTGGGCTGTGGACTAGAACCTCAGAACACAGATACTCAGAGGGGAGGTTGAATTCTGAAACCCCCTGGAGTAAGAACTCCAAGTCATCCTTAAAATCCCTGCCTGTCCTGTATTTAAAAGGTCAAAGAGGAACAGGGAAGAGGCTGAGAATTATAGATACAATATATCAAAGTGAAATCAGAGTCTTTTTTACTAAAAATCTGTTGTTGTTGTTGTTGTTGTTTTGTTTTTTACCTTATTTGTCATTATGAAATTAAAGTGTAAAAGGTTTAATGTCTAAAATCAATGTCCTCAAAAAATATATTAATGTTGTAAAATAACAATTCAAATGAATTTAACTATAAATTGATTCTACATTTGATCAGTAACTGACAAATAAATAACACTTGCCAAAATTAAACAAAAAAACGCTGTTTATGCAAAATAATAGGAAACTTTGAGCCACATTATTTTTTAATCTCAATTTTTGAAAACTACACAAAGTGTGTACTAGGACGAAAAAAATTATTTTCTTCAAATAATAGATCAAATGTATTATTTCATTATAATTAAAAATTCCTGTGATGGACTCATGGAAAAATGTAACTTAAATTGATGGACAAAACAAGGAGGAAAGAAAAAAAAGGAGAAAAATATATATATTAAATGTATGATGTTGAATTGTAAGTTATTAAAAAAAAAAAAAAAAAAGTTCGATTTACTTCAAAAATGAGCCCACAAAGAAAAAGAAAAATAGCTTAAAAGGTCTGTGGCAGCAGACTGTGTTTCTCTTTAGAGGATCCAAACACAGACACTCGGGGGAGGGACAGCATTTAACAAAAAACATGCAGTTTATTGAAGGCAGAACACGAAGGTACAAAGTAAGAAAAACCAAAACCAACAGCTAAACTAAACTGGGAAAAAACTAAACTAGGAGCAAGGGTTAGACAAGCGTCTTAGAAAATTTATTCCTGGATAATACAATAAAAAGTAAAACTAATGGGGAAAAAAACTTTATATAAAATTGTAATTTTTATAAAAGCTATTTCTACTTAATAATTAGGTAACGCAAAGGAATATTCAATGCCAAATTTCACTTTAATAAAATTGTTGAAAAGTGTATAAAGTGTGTAGTGAGGGGTTTTACAGCCTTAAAACTATAATAATTGTAAAAACTACAGTTGGTTACTTTGCAGATTTCACCTATCGTATGGTTATTTTTAGAACGTAACTCCGGTGATAAACGAGGGACCACTGTATAGCATATACTCACGCTAACGACATCCAGGAGGACGGGATCTGAGGGTAGACGGGCAGGTTCTCC